CTGATTACTCAAAATAGAAATGTTGTAACGGACAGTCTTTTCCAAAAGCCTCCTCGGGTTTTCCTGCTTGTTCTTTCAACTGTGCCTGAGTAACTGTGCTGTAGTACAACGCTCGGTCCAGCTGGTGGCGCTAATACTAACTTCAGTGACTCCCGCATTGTGCGAGCTTCCTGTTTACATTCTGATGCTGTAGCTAACAGCTACTGTAGCAGCTACTGTAGCTAACAGCTACTGTAGCAGCTACTGTAGCTAACAGCTACTGTAGCAGCTACAGTAGCAGCTACTGTAGCAGCTACAGTAGCAGCTACTGTAGCTAACAGACAGCGGGGAACACGTTGTTTGTATCAGAGCAATGAGAGCAATGTGTGAGACGTGTCTTTCCCCAAAGTGCAGCGGCTCAGTGGGACACGAGTGTGTGCGCGCCACGGACACGGGAGTGCGCTTTGGAATAACGAGCGTGAGAGAGCGTGAAAGATGTGGCGTACGAACATAGCGACCGGAGCCTGCGTGCGTGTGTGTGTGTGTTCTGGCGATTACATAAAGTCTGATTCTTGAACGTTTGAAGTGTTATTGCAACAGCACCAACTGTGAGAGCGAGCATCAGGCCAGAGGGAGACTGTTAGCATTAGGTTAGCTTCAAAATGACTGCTCAACACCATAGACCCGCGGTTAGCGCTTTAGCGCTGTAGTTCTGCGCTGGAGAAAATAAAAATCGAATTTTTAAAAAAAGAAATCGCCCTAAACGTAAAACTCGAATTAATGATTAAAATTGATTAATCGCCCAGCCCTAGACAGAGTTAAACCCAGAAACTTGCACTCCTCTACGATCTGCACTCGGGAGTTGTCGATTACGACAGGCAAATGAGAACTGTTACGACTGAAGTCGTAGACCAGTTCACATGTTTTGGATGCGTTCAACTGGAGGTTGTTAGTTTTACTCCACTGAACCACATTTTGTATCTCTGCTCTATAAGAGGATTCATCATTGTCACTGATGAGACCGATGATGGTGGTGTCATCAGCATATTTAATGATCAAGTTTGAGTCAGAGGAGGACACACAATTGTGAGTGTACAAAGTAAAAAGCAAAGGACTCAAAATGCATCCCTGAGGAGAACCAGTGCTCACAGAAACAACATCAGAAAAACAGTCATTGATTTTAACTCTGAGATCTGTCAGTTAAAAATCTAAAAATCCATTTACACATGGCAACACTTAAACCGAGAGACATGAGCTTTTCAATCAGTTTACCTGGGACAAGGCAGTTAAAAGCAGAGCTATAATCGATGAAAAGAATTCTCGCGACAGATTTACTAGTGTCCAAGTGACTGTAGACAGAGTTCAGAGCAAAGGAGATGGCATCCTCCACACTCCTGTTCTGTCTGTAAGCAAACTGGAGCGGGTCAACACTCACAGGGATCTGGCTCTTAATGAAGTCCAGCACAAGCCGCTCAAAAGTTTTCATAAGAACAGACGTGAGGGCCACGGGACGATAGTCATTCAGGCATGTCACAGGAGTTTTCTTAGGAACTGGAATGATGGTCGACTCTTTAAAGCAGTTCGGCACAGTACAGTTCCTTAGCGACAGGTTGAAAATGTCTGTTAGCACAGGGACAAGTTGCTCAGAGCACAGTTTCAGGACACGAGGAGGGATGCCGTCCGGGCCTGGGGCTTTCCGGACTGTGGTCCTGGACAAGACACGCCTGACTTCCTCCTGAGTCACGGTGAAGGGACCTTGATTGAAACACTCAGGGAATACAGTAGGACAGGCATCAGCAGATTCAAAGCGACAGTAGAACGTGTTCAGTTCGTTTGGTAGAGCTTGGCCGACAGATGCAATTTTCCCAGCGCTAGGTTTCCACGATGTGATGGCTTTAATACCGTTCCACATGCGCCGAGGGTCATCTTCCTCAAAATAACTCTTTACCCTGTCCCCGTAACTGCGCTTTGCAGATTTAATAGAACGTTTCAATGAGTAACAGGATAGCTTATAAGCAACTGTATCATTTGATTGAAACGCCAACGCACGCTCATGAAGTTTCAGTTTCACTTCTGCGTTCATCCAAGGGTTTTGACTAAAATGTTCTTTAATGACCTTCTGTGGGACACAGCCGTCAATACAGAAGCGTATGTATCCAGACACAGCGTCACAGAATTCATTGACGTCCTCTGACTGAAACACAGACCAGTCCGTAGCATCAAAACAACCTTGTAGCTTCATGCTAGCCTCCTCAGACCAACACTGCACAGTGCGAGAGGTTGGTTTATGTTCCCTGCTCCTGTGAGTATACGAAGGAAGAAGGAGAACAGAGGAGTGGTCAGACTTTCCAAAAGGAGGTCGGAGACTGGACCTGTAAGCTCCCTTCACGTTACTGTAGCAGTGATCCAGAACATGTGCTCCTCTTGTAGCTTGAGTCACATGTTGGTAAAAGTTTGGGAGTACAGTCTTTAAATTACATTTATTGAAATCCCCAGCAACAATGATGACTGCGTTAGGATGAGCAGACTCATGTTTGTGAAGGATCTCACTCAGATCCTGTAGGGCTACTTTGTAATCCGCACGTGGGTGAATGTAAACAGCACATAAAAATATCACTGAAAACTCACGGGGAAGATAAAAAGGGCGACCGCGGTGAAGTTAGTTTGAAGTTGGATATCCGACAGACATTCGCCGCAACATTTAAGTGCACCCGTACTACACACAGTACGGTAAACACGCGGAGACATGTACGCTGGTCTAATATTTACATATAAAAAATCATTAAAAATACTTACAACATTTTAATGATAAAATAAGAGGTGTACCCCCTGTATCTAGTGGATGACTATGATCCTGACCTGATTTGGAGTCAATAGGTCACATGACCTGGAAGCTATTGAGCTAAAATGCTAATATTTACATATAAAAATTCATTAAAAATACTTAAAACACTTTAATGATCAAAGAAGAGGTGTACCCCCTGCAGCTAGTGGAGGACTATGATCCTGACCTGATTTGGAGTCAATAGGTCACATGACCTGGAAGCTATTGAGCTAAAATGCTAATATTTGCCTTTAAAAATTCATTAAAAATACTTAAAACATTTTAATGATAAAAGAAGAGGTGTACCTCCTGCAGCTAGTGGAGGACTATGATCCTGACCTGATTTGGAGTCAATTGATCACATGACCTGGAAGCTATTGAGCTAAAATGCTAATATTTGCCTTTATAAAATCATTAAAAATACTTGCAAAAACTTAAATGAGAAAAGAAGAGGTGTACCCCCTGCAGCTAGTGGAGGGCTATGATCCTAAACTGATTTGGAGTCAATAGGTCACATGACCTGGAAGCTATTGAGCTAAAATGCTAATATTTGCCTTTAAAAATTCATTAAAAATACTTAAAACACTTTAATGATCAAAGAAGAGGTGTACCCCCTGCAGCTAGTGGAGGACTATGATCCTGACCTGATTTGGAGTCAATAGGTCACATGACCTGGAAGCTATTGAGCTAAAATGCTAATATTTACATATAAAAATTCATTAAAAATACTTAAAACACTTTAATGATCAAAGAAGAGGTGTACCCCCTGCAACTAGTGGAGGACTATGATCCTGACCTGATTTGGAGTCAATAGGTCACATGACCTGGAAGCTATTGAGCTAAAATGCTAATATTTGCCTTTAAAAATTCATTAAAAATACTTAAAAAAAACTTAAATGACAAAAGAAGAGGTGTGCCCCCTACAGCTAGGGGAGGACTATGATCCTGACCTGATTTGGAGTCAATTGATCACATGACCTGGAAGCTATTGAGCTAAAATGCTAATATTTGCCTTTAAAAATTCATTAAAAATACTTAAAACATTTTAATGATAAAAGAAGAGGTGTACCCCCTGCAGCTAGTGGAGGACTATGATCCTGACCTGATTTGGAGTCAATAGATCACATGACCTGGAAGCTATTGAGCTAAAATGCTAATATTTGCATATAAAAATTCATTAAAAATACTTTTAAAAAACTTAAATGACTCAAAAAGAGGTGTACCCCCTACAGCTAGGGGAGGAATATGATCCTGACTTTTAATACAGTACAGTTTTATTACATCGGTTTTAAATTTGTTGCATTGGCTTCCCGTGTGTTTCAGGATCAATTTTTAGGTTCTTTCACTGGTTTTTTTCATGTCTTCATGGTCTTGGGCCTTCTTATTACTCATAACTGCTTTTATCCAAAGAACCATCCCGGTTCTTGCAGCAGACTCCTCCATTACCAAAGCCAGGACACACACTCAAGCTGAGGCATATGTAAGTGAGTAAGTAATGTTTATTTATATAGCGCATTTTACAGACCAAGGTCACCCAAAGCGCTTTACGTCCATCACTACGGCCCCGTCTCTGGAACAGTCTGCTGGAGGAGCTTGACTAGCACCCTCCTGTCCCTCACCTCCTCCACAGAGTCCAGGGGGCTGTCCCGTTCTGTGCTGCCCGGGGCCCAGCACACGGCAGCGTAGTGTATGGCAGAGCCTACCACAGAGTCATAAAAGGTCCTGAGCAGAGGCCTGCTCACTCCGAAGGACCTCAGCCTCCTCAGAAGGACCTCAGCCTCCTCAGAAGGACCGCAGCCTCGTCAGAAGGAAGAGGCGACTTTGGCCCTTCTTGTGCAGAGCGTTGGTGGTATGGGACCAGTCCAGTTTATTGTTTATGTGAACACCCAGGTACTTGAAGCTGTCCACCAGCTCAATGTCCTCCCCCTGGATGTTCAGCAGCGTCTGGGAAAGTGGTATTATCCTGAAGTCGATTACCATCTCCTTGGTCTTACTGGTGTTAGCACAGGTACCATCTCCTTGGTCTTACTGGTGTTAGCACAGGTACCATCTCCTTGGTCTTACTGGTGTTAGCACAGGTACCATCTCCTTGGTCTTACTGGTGTTCAAGCACAAGTGGTTGCACTCACACCAGTCGACAAAGTCCTTGATAACCGACCCATATTCCAGTTCGTTCCCCTCAGACACACAGCCCACGATGGCGGAGTCGTCGGAGAACCTCTGCAGGTGACAGCTGTGTGTGTCGTGTGTGAAGTCTGAGGTGTAGATGGTGAAGAGAAACGGTGAGAGGACAGTGCCCTGAGGGGCCCCAGTGCTGCAGACTACCACCTCAGACTCACAGCTGCGCAGCCGCACGTACTGTGGTCGGTCTGAGAGGTAGTCGATGGTCCATACAGTGAGGTAGTTGATGGTCCATGCAGTGAGGTAGTCGATGGTCCATGCAGTGAGGTAGTTGATGGTCCATGCAGTGAGGCTACTGTCCACTCTTGCATCCTCCAACTTCCCCCGCAGCAGCGCCGGTCTGATGGTGTTGAAAGCACTGGAAAGGTCGAAGAACATGACCCTCACAGCGCTCCCTGCAGGCTCCAGGTGGGAGAGCGTCCGCTGCAGTAAGTAAATGACGACGTCCTCTACTCCGATGTTGGGCCTGTAGGCGAACTGCAGCGGGTCCAGGGTGGGGCTGACCACAGAGCGGAGGTGGGTGAGGATGAGCCGCTCCATGGTCTTCATCAAGTGGGAGGTCAGTGGGAGGTGAGTGCGACTGGTCTGTAGTGAGCCGGTTCCTTGGCGTGCGCTGTTTTAGGAACCTGGATCACACAGGAGGTCTCCCACAGGACAGGGACCTTCTCCAGGCTGAGCCTCAGGTTGTACATGTAGCTGAGGAGTAGATATATAAGGCACCGCTATTGAGCAAGTGGTGAAAAGGTGGTACTGCACCCTAAACTCCTCAGAATAGAGACACCGCTATTGAGCAAGTGGTGAAAAGGTGGTACTGCACCCTGAACTCCCCAGAATAGAGACACCGCTATTGAGCAAGTGGTGAAAAAGTGTTACTGCACTGTATTTTTTCAAAGAGGTGTTATTTTGAATAGTTAGCCTCTGCCTGGTGCTTCACAGTTGTCTAAAAAGTGGCTTATTAACCAGCGCGTAGCGTAACACAGAGGGACGGTCACACACACTTATTCTAAAACAAATAGCCTATGCCTGGTCTGTAAGTAAGCTTCACACTTGTCTAAAAAGTGGTTTATTGAGCAGCGTTTAGCGTAACACAGAGGGACGGTCACACACACTTATTCTAAAACAAATACCCTATGTCTGGTCTGTAAGTGAGCTTCACACTTGTCTAAAAAAGTGATTTATTGAGCAGCGCGTAGCGTAACACATGTGTAGGGTCACACCGAGCTTATTCTAAAACAAACAGCAATACATAGGTTAGGGAAGGCATGGTAATAGTGAATCAAGCAGCAGGGGAGGACCTGTCCCCTGACCTATCAACCTGAAGCAAACAATGTAGCCGAATCATGCTGAAGGGGTGGTAGGATGGACCTGCCCCCAGCCTATCAACGTAGAACAAACAGTGTAGGCGAATCATGATGAAGGCGGTGGGAGGACTATGAAGAATCACTAGAGTGAAGCAGATCCCTTTCTCAAACTATGGGTCTCCGTGAGGTTTCGCACTTTTTTTCATATGAGTTTTTCCTTGCTGATGCAGGATAAAACAATCTAAACTCAATCCTTGTCTTTTCCTTCCTTGTCCCACAGGTCACAAGTGTTCACTCCCCCCTCCCAGTCGGACATCATCAAATCAGGCAGCTAAATCCCCGCTAAAGCAACATATGGACAGAAAGCAGCAAGGACCTGACGATCCCCGATTACTCTCAGCAGACCTTCAACGCAAAGAGAACAACACAAGCCTTTGACCTCCGCTAGACACCCTGAACCGTACTCCGAGCAGACCTGTGGGAGTGGCTGCGGAACACCACGGACCTCCCGGACTCACGGCGCGGGCCAAACGGCGGTCCCTATGTGCAAGACGCAAGTTCAAGAAGATGTTTCGCTGGGGAGACTTCCATCCAACTCAAGACCGCAAACTCACCTACTCATCACCGGGAAGATCGTCGACCACGGCAACGGACTTTTCAAGCGTGTACTTCCGACACAACTCCACGGGTCAAGGAACGTCTAGGGGTGAGCCTAGTCCCCGCCCACCAAGATCGTGGAGTTGACTGGCTGCTCAACAATCCCGTGATCGACGCCAAGGATTCCAAGTCGTATCACTGATGGCATCGAGTACGAGAAGTGGAGAAGGGAGCCAAGAACACGCATTTGTCAACTTTGACCCGTCATGACATGCTACAGGAGCAGACGCAGAGTCACGTGTCCTGGCTCTGCTCGAACCTTTCAAAGTCATCTGCAACTTCATTTCCTTCTATACACTGACTACGCAACTGGTTCATAAGGTTTTTGCCCGGACTACAACTACCACAGCGACACGCCGTACTTCCCTCCTGCTGACGGCGCGGAAAACTTGGAAAACACCAAAACTTGAAACCAGGACCAGGCGCAAGGTTTCCTACATCAGAGAAACTGCACCATCAATTGTTCTTACCTTTTTTAAGACCCTGACGAACCCCCCTGGTTGAGTTTCTAGATGGTTATTTTTCTTAGTCGGGATTTATGCTAGCGTAGTTAGCAAGGTTTTGGTTTATTTGGTCATAGATTATTGTCATCCCCCAAAAAAGGCCCAACCCCCCCCTCCCCCTTTATGTTTCTGAAACTGAGGACTGGTGTCGACAAGAAATTGACTTAAAAAGGAATCGTTATCGTGGACCCTGAACTTTTATTGTAGTCTCCGAAGAATAATGTTGGGAACTGGGACCTACTGTAATGTTTTTTTCTGTCTTACATTTTTAGTTGATTTTTTGATTCACTTTGCAACACCGTATCTATCATTGAGTCAACAAAAATAGGTTACAGTAATTGAACAGTAAGCTTATTTAAATAATTAATTTTTCTATTAACAATTGGTATTGTGACAGGAAGTTGTGACAAACAAGGGCTGGCAACTCAGATTTAAATTAGTTTAATTTTAAACCAAATAAATGCCCTGATCTTATTGTTAATCTTATTTAACAATCATTCAAAATTGGTGGGAACACATACATCTTGAGTTACATATTTTTCTACACTTTGCCATTATTTATTGTATTATTAAGTATTGATGTATAGTGTGTTTTATTTCCTCCATAATCTCCTTTCATCGACTGTGGCATATATCCCCTGACACAACGATTCTTGCCACCGCTATGCTTTTGGAGATTTCCTGCAAAACTTGTTAAATACACTGAGAAAAAAAGAAAGAAAAAAACTATATAAAAAAGATGATCTTGCAAGGCAGGCTGAAGGCACGGCTGAGCATCAAAGACCTGGTGTGAGAGCGTTGTGTGTGGGAATATTTGCCTCTTGACAGAATATTGTTGCTTCATTTGGGCTTATGAGGTCCATGGGAAAGGGCTTGGCTCATTTGTCACTGAATATATACCAAATGTATTGTAACTGATTTATCTCCTAGAGCCTAAATTTGTTGAAAGGTTTGTATTGTACATAGTTGAGTCCCGCTGCTTCTGTACATGCCCCATGAGCTGTTTCCCCTGGCAATCCATTTAAGCATCGTTCTTGGTTTTTTGGAACAAAGTAAATGATGTTATTCTGCCCTAAATGTGACACAATGAAAAAGAACTCCTGTACCGAAGCAGTAAAACTCACACATATATGAAAAGTATACAATTTTTTTTTCTTTTTTGGGAGGTACAGGGCTGGAGAAGTACATAGAGATTAAGAATACAGTAAATTTTAACAATTCAATGGTGTTTTGTGTGAGATTTTAATACTGTACATTCAAAACATATAGCAGTGTGAGCCTCCACAAGTATCAAAATTAAAGAGATTGGAAAATTCCAATGAACATAGGATTTGACAATAGGACCATAACTGCTCCATAACTACAAAAGCCAGGCCAGAAAGATGGCCTATCAACCATTGAAACCAGTTCAGGAAGTATTTCAGATCTAACTTCCTCCTATTAGAGGCCAAACAATGGCATCCCCACATGCTACCACCAGAGGGCGCAGTATAATGAATGTCGATATTTATCTTATCGACAAATTATACCAAATTACCAAATTTGTGCCTACAAACAAGCATATTGATTGTAAAAACTGTGAAATAGCCCCAAAAATACTTTATGAGCAAGCATTTGGTTTAAAAAGCGGAAGTGCTCCTGAGTATGATTCATACGTAGTACAATGACATCAACTAAATAAAGGACTGAGACCAGGAGCTTTTTAGACAGAATGGGCAGGTCACTTGTTTTTGTGCTAATTCCTGAAGTGTAAAACAAACTCCAGATCTGGGTTGATGATGGAAAAAAAAGTCTCTTATGCAAATCATATTTTTCATATTATTAAAAAAAACTCATCAGTACCACAAAACCTACAATAACTGACGAACATTTTAACAATTTGAATTCAAGATAATGAAACCAACTATTGGCACCTTTAAAAACAGCGCAAGATGGTCTGACAACAGCCAGCCCACCACCCAAATTAGCGGAAAGGAAAACAAATCTCTACTGTTTTAATTTTAAGTCAATTTGAAATTTTTGATTGATCAGTTATATAGCGCTTTTTTTGGACACTCAAAACACATCACATGAAATTTATTATAGGTGGCAACTATTATTGCTATTATTGTAACCTGCGCAGCACACAGACAGCGGCGAGGCAAACAGTATGTGCCATCAGCCCCACAGAGCACCACCAACACGAGACAATGTGAGTGAATTGACTTAAGAACACTACAACGGTTCTTGTATTTATTCTGTTTTTTTTTTTTTATTACTTTATTTTTTTATTTTGTTTTTTTTTTTATCTTTTTTTCTCTTTTTTTTTCTTAATTTTTGTTTTGTATATTTTTTGTCATTTTTTATTTCTTTTTTCTTTATTTTTTTGTGTTTATTCTTTTTATGTTTTATTTTATTTGCGTCTTTTTTTTGTTTTTTTGTTTTTTTGATTTTTTGATTTATTTATACTTTTATATTGCTTTTTTTTTTTTTTCTTTTTTTTATTTAATTTTTTTTTTCCTTTAGGTCCTTTTTTTTTTTTTTTAATTTGTTAATTTTTTTGTGTTTTTTTTCTAATTTTTTTTTTTATCTTTTTTTTTTTTTTTTTTTTTTTTTTTTATTATTATTTTTTTCTTTTTTTTACTTTTTTTTTTTTGTTCTTTTTCTTTTTTTTAATCTCATTTTTCCTATTTTGTTTTTATTTTGTTTTTTTGTTATTTGTGCTTTTTTTTTTGTTTTGGTTTTATTTTATACTTATTCTTTTTTTTTTGTTATTTTGTTTTTATATTGTTATTTTTTTACTTCCTTGTTTTTTTTTTTATGTTTTTTTTTATACTTTTTATGTTAATTTATTTTTGGCTTTTTTTCTTTTTTTTTTTTTTTTTTTATTTTTTTTTAGTTTTATTATTTCTCTTTTTTATTTGATTTTCTTTTTGTTTTTTTTTTAGTTTTACTTTTTTCTTTTATTTTTTTGTCCTCTTGTTTTTTCTTTGTTTCTTTTTTTTTTATTTTCGCTTACTTTCATTTTTTTTTTTTATTTTTTTGCTCGTTTTCTTTTTACTTGTTTTTCTTTTTTTTTTTAGTTCTTTTTATTTTTTCTGTTTTTTGTTTTTTTCTTCTTTTTTGTGTTTTATTATTTTTATTTTTTTTAATTTTTTTTTTGTTTTTTTATTTTGTGTTTTATACGTTTTTTTCCTTTTGTTTTTTTATTATATTCTAATTTTTAGTTTTTCTTTTTTATTTTTATTTTTTTTTTATTTTTTTTTTCTTAGTTATTTTTTTGTAATATTATGAGTTTTTTGTTTTTTTTTTTATTTTTTGATGTTTTTTTCTTTTTTTTTTTTTATTTTATTATTTTTTATTTTCTTTTTCACTTTTGTTTTTCATTGTTTCTTTTTTATTTTTTTTATCTCATTTTTTTTTTTTGGTACTTCAAATTTTTTTTTTTTTTTTATTTTGTATTTTTTTTTTTTGTTTTATTCTATATGATTTTTTTTCCTTTTCTTCTTTATTTTTTTTTTTGTATTTTGTTTTTATTTCTTTATTTTCTTTTTTGTTAGTTTTTCGTATTTTTTTTATTTTTCTTTTTTTTTTTGTTTTTTTTTTTTTTACTTTTGTATTTTATGTTGTTTTTTTTTTTTTTTTTTTTCTTGGATTTTTTATATTTTTTTCACTTATTTCTTGGTTTTTTTTCTTTTTGTTTTTTTTTTGATTTTTTTTTTGTTTTTTTTTCTTCTTATATTGTTTTTATTATTTCTTTACTTTTAGTTTTTTTTGTTATTATATTTCGCGTAGATTTTTTTTTTTTTATTTTTTTGTTTCTTTTTTTTGTAATTTTTTTAGTTTATTTTAATTTTTTTTTTGTTTTTTATTGTTTTTTTTTTATCTTTTTTTATCTTTCTTTTATTTTTTTTTTTTTTGTTTTATTTTTATTTCTTATTTTTTTTTTATTTTTTATTATTTATTTGGTTATCTTTTTGTGTTTTATTTTTTTTTTTTTTTTTATATTCGTAATTATTTTTGTGTTTTTTTTTTTTTGTTTTTTGTTATTTTTTGTGATTTTTTATTTTTTTTTTTTTTTTATTATTTTTTTTTGTTTTTTTTTTTTTTTTTTTTTGTGGTTATTTATTTTTTTTGTTAATAATTAATTATTTATTTAATATATTTTTTCTCTTTCTTGAAATTTATTTTTTTTTTTTTTTACTTTTTTTTTGTTTTTTTTTTTTTTTTTTATGTTTTTTTGTTTCTTTTTATTATTTATTATTTATTTGTTTTTTTTTTTTTTTTTTTTGTTTTCTTTGTTTTTTTTTATTTTTTTTTTTTGCTTTTTTTTTTTACTATTACGTTTCTTTTTTTTATTCTTATTTTTTTTTTTTTTTTTTATTTATCATTTTTTGTTTTTTTTTTTGTGTTATTTTTTTTTTTTTTTATTCGATTTTTCTTTTATTTTTTTTCTTTTATTTTTATTCTCATTATTTTTTACAATTTTTGTATTTTAAGTTTTTTTTTTTTTTTTTTTGTGCTCTTATTTTTATTTTTTTTTATTATTTTTTTTTTTAGATTTTAATTTTGTTTTTTTTTTATTTTTTTTTTTTTATTTTTTTTCTTTTAAATTTTTTTTTTATTTGTTTATTTCTTTTTTTTTTTTATCTGTTTCATTTTTTTTTTTTTTTTTCTTTTTTCGTTTTTCTTTTTTTTTTTTTTTTTTTATATTCGTTCTTTCATGGGTTCTTTTTTTTTATTTTTTTTTTTTTCTTTTTTTCTTTTTTTTTTTTTATTATATTTTCTTTTTTTTTTTTTTATTTTTTTTCTCTTTTCTATTTTATATACTATTTTTTTTTTTGATTTTTTTTATTTTTTTTTTTTTTTTGTTTTTTTTTTGTTTTTCCTATCTTTTGTGTTATTCTTTTTTATTTTTTTATTTGTTT